AAAAAAAAGAAAAGAAAAGAAAAGTTTGTATTTTAATGACCACTGAGAGTCTCTTGAGGACCTCTGGGGGCCTCTTATTCACATTTTTGAGAATCCCTGGACCGAAGGAAGCAAAGCAGTATTGTTGCAGTTCTTCACACATCCACTCCAAATGTACTACTTCAAGGTTTGCTAAGAGTTTGCTTGTGAAATCCTGTGGTCTTCAAGACCTTGGGGTTCTACCCGCCCTCCCTTCCCCCCACTGCCCCCCCGCCCCCATTTTCGTGGGAGTTGACTGGTGGTGAAAACTGATCATCAGTTTTCTCTCTTTAACGGTTATTGTTCTATTTAAGCTTTCTCTTTTTTAAAAACATGTATTATCAAATTTGATTTAACAAAATTATCCATTTTTTCTGAGTTTTCAAATGTGTTAACAAAATTTTTTCTTTTTTTTTCCTTTTTGCCAATCATGGGGCTTGATCTCTGGGCCTAGGCACTGTCCCTGAGCTCTTCAGCTCAAGGCTGAAGCCACAGTGCCACTTCTGGTTTTCTGGTGGTTAATTGGAGGTAAGAATCTGACTATCTTTCTGCCTGGGCTGGCTTTGAACTGTGATCCTCAGATCTCAGCCTCCTGGGTAGCTAGGATTACAGGCGTGAGCCACTGGCACCCAGCTGGTTATACATTTCTTTAATGATATATTTATACATTTTTCACAATCTTTGCTGTATAGTACTTTAAAATTATGCAACTTTAAATATTTTTTAAAATGTGGACATATATATTTCCCCATGCATTTGGAACTATTTCTTTTCCTGAGAAATGCTTTTTAAGCAGAATTAAACATTCAGTGTTCTCTCAGAGTAATCAAAACAAATTATTTTTATTATTACTCTTGGTTAAAACTGCTTTTAATTTTTCTTTTTTTTTTTTTCCCCGGTCGTGGGGCCTGTGAACTCTGGGCCTGGGTGCTGTCCCTCAGCTCTTCAGCTCAAGGCTAGCACTCTACCACTTGAGCCACAGCGCCACTTCCGG